TTTTTTTTTTTTTTTTTTTTTTTTTTTTTTTTTTTTTGACGTATTTGACTTTCAATTTGCTTGACACAAAGAGAGCTTATAGGGATATGATCGGGGAGTGCCTTTTTCCATCCGCCTTTTTGAGAAGGAGAGGTTTTGTTGCAAGTGGGCTTGTGTGAGGAGAGGAACTATTGGACTGCTAGATGGTTGAGAGGGACCATGATGTTTGGTCCTTCTTTAGGTTCTATGTTTCTCCTTAGCGTAGGTGACTAAAGTTTTTTGTAATTGTTTTTAGATATTTTTACTTGATTGGTGCCCCCTTTCTTAAGTTGCACTTCCTTTGAGCTAGTCTCTCTTTTCATCTTTTAAATGAAAAGTTTCCATCTCCGGCTCTTAAACGTTGTGCTTCCTTTCGAGGGCTTGGCTTTATGGATGCCTTTCTATTCTTTTATTTCATTTTTCTAAATGAAAGTTCAGTTTTTTTTAATAAAAAATGTGAGCTTAGAATGAAAGGAACATCGTCTTACGTGTATGCAGAAACTTAATTATTTCTCATGTATTCAGGGGCCCCATTTTGGAAACTGATTTTGAAGCAGTTTGATGATTTACTAGTGAAGATATTAATTGTTGCAGCAGTTGTTTCTTTCCTATTGGCTTTGATAAATGGAGAGACAGGCATAATAGCATTTTTGGAGCCTTCAGTAAGATATAATTTCTAGCTTCTCTTATTTATTATTGTTTGTCATTTTGATATTTTGTTTTATGTTTTTATTATTGAGCTTCAATTTTCCTTATCTCTCATACCCATTGTTTAGTTTTTTGTATGCACTCTCCTGCATTCGTCTGTTTTTTCTCCTCCATTATGTCTGTGTGGATAAGAATCTTAAGCCGTTCATTATAAGTGGGAGTATATACAAATGATGGAAGGAAGATTAGATACGTTTTCAACTTGAGTTTCAAAGAAGATTTTAGAACACTCTTCATTTAGCATTGATAATTAAGGGGTATATATATATATATAAAAGAATAGAACTTCACGATTTGAGGGGCCGCTCTTAAATGAGAAGCTCCATGTGTATGCAATAAAACATATTTGGTCCAAAAAAAAAAAAAAAAACATTGGTATCTATCCTTTAAAAATTTGAATTATAATGGAGTTCACTAACTACAACCAACCATAAAATCAAGCATTAATCTTTATCCCTAAAGAGATGGCTGCATTACCAATGAATTTTGATGAGAACCATCAACAAGAGGAATAATTGCGATGTAGAAAGATTTAACTTCCTTTTTGGCGCTTTCACTATTCCATAACCAAATAAGGTTGGTAGGTGCTTAACAATTGATCTTTCCTAGGCAAATTTGAATGATAAGTACCCTAAAGGTAAATTTTTGTCGATAGCCTGTTTTTGTAGCCTCAATACAGTTCATAGATTGTTGACTAGATGCCTCACCTTGGATTTGTATCCATCTTGATATTCTCTTTGCTTGGGAGAGCGGGAATGCATTGACCATTTTATTTCATTTGTCCCTTTAACAAGAAGATTTGGAATTCCTTACTACAAAATTTTGATTTATCTGGAGTTATTCACTCTTCTTTAGAAGGAAACATGGTGCAAGTGTTGTTGTGCAGCTATTCATTAAAGTGAAACAGAGGGAACTATGGGTCGATGCAAATTATGCTCCTTTTGTAATTAACACAAATTAGGCAAGGGAGGCGGGATTTTGTAAGATATATTGTGGAGTGGCATAATACTTAGTCTTTTTGTTGTGGGAACTATTTTGCTACATTTTTCTTATCACTGAAAAGTTTTTTTTTCTTGCTCCTGTTTAGGAAAAAAAAAGGGTACTGATCTATGTGTTGAGTGATGGAACGGATCATTTATTTACTTCTTATATTTTTCCTTCTTGTACAGGTAATTCTAATGATATTGGCTGCAAATGCAGCAGTAGGAGTGATTACAGAAACAAATGCCGAAAAGGCTCTTGTGGTTAGTTCTGGAACATTTGAATGACACCATGAGTTTGATTAATCTCGTAGCATGATTTGGGGTATTGCGTTATTTGAAGTTCAATTCGTAAGATTTATTTATATTGTGAGCTTCACAATAAGGTAAACTTGTTCAAAATTTTATACTTATGAGCTTAGTTTTCTATTTGAGCTTCGTGATGAGGATCTGTTTTAATAGGAAACAGAAATCATCGCATTTCATTGATGTATGAAATGGATAAAAAACAAGAACTATATGATAATAATTACAAGAATCACCTTCACTGAGCTATGTTGGTTGTCAAACTATAATTACAAGAGGGAGGAGAACGTTAACTCCACAAAATAGCAGGATATATAGTAGAATAAATAAAGGAGACAATTCTTTCTTGCTTATCTGTGAAGATGAATGCATTTTTTCCAACCTTAAATCCGTATGAAAGCATAGATAAAGTGGTTCCGAAGTATCTTCTTTTCCTCTTGAAAGGGTGTCCATTGATAGAGAAGTTGAGAAGTGTATAGATATCTCCAGGATGAGAAGTGAACCAACCAAAGCTTGCTGAATATAATTCCAGAAGGATGATGCGTATGGGCAATAATTAAAGAGATCAATATGGGTTTCTCTGTTCCTTAGAAAAAGCTGGCATCAACTAGGAGAAGTGGAAAACCAAGGAGATTTATGTTGAAGCTTGTCAAAAGTGTTAATACATGCATTGCTAAGCTCACAAACAAAGAATTTGACTTTTATGGTAGAACATCCTGTTCATGATGAGGATAACCTGATCAAAATTTTATATTTGGTAGTGTAGTTCTTATAATGTCTTTTAGTGGGATGAGGTAAGGGGATGCTATTTCCCTTTATCCTTTTATCCTTGTGGCAGGTTGCATTAGTGGATTAGGGAATTTGTGCTTCACCGTTTTTTCATCAAGACACCCCCAGGGCAGGAAAACGATTTTTTTTTTTTTGACGAGTTCCCTTGTGGCGGTGAGGGTCATTAAGGACTCTAAGGCCTGTTGCCAAAAAGGACTTGGGGTGAGGAATTGTATGAGGTTCACCAATTTTTCTATTTTAGTGAATTGGAGAACCAATGGAGAAAAAGTAATTCTATGGAATGGTTAGGCAAGGTGAATTCAAATTATTTTTTAGGCTGCATGTAGTATTATGAACATAGGGATACATTATTTGCTTGTGAGTCTTGAGAGAAGGCCATGAATGTGCATGTTTGGAGTGTGTTTCATACTTTTATTACACATGGTCTTTAGTTAAATGTGTGACTAGTGTATTACAATTAAGCTTGACCTTAGGACTAAGCCTTCACGACTTTTCAAGAATTTGTTAGTATTAGAGTTGTTATTTTCGTATTTCAAGGTGTATACCTTGGAAGGGATTTGTTTTTTTTCTTTTTTATAAGAGACAATTTCATTGATGATTGAAATATACAAAGGATGTAATATCCATGATGATTACAGAGGTATAACTATAGGAAGTAAAAATATTAGATAGTTTACACCAAGATATAGATTGGTAAACAACATTGTCAAAAGAAATTCATGTGAGGTTTTTTCATGGTAGGGCTTTTGCATTCTTGAATGGGTGGTACATTAAGGCCATGTCCAATAGATCCTTTATCTCCCTAGGAAATGTGAGATGCTATCGGAATATATTGAGAATCGTTGTCCAAAAACTCTGAGCGTTTGTGCATTGCATAAATAAGTGATTTTGTGATTCGTCTCCTTTCTTGCATAATGTTCCATTTCTTTTTGAAAGAAAATATAATGATTTAAGATATTGTTTAAAATGCTTTTGGGTTTTGAGTTTTGAATCATGGAAGAGTCTTGAGCGTGTGTGAAAGTGGTTCATTTGCAAGGCCTCAAATAGGTTTGTTAGAGTGTCACTGAGGGGTTGACCTTAGGTGAAGGTACTATAGATAATATTGCTCTTTCTATCAATGTGGCTTTTGGGAGATCTGATGGTCCTTGTCCTATATCATATCCCAAGTTTAGTCTTCAAGTGTTTACACTTTTATCTTGACCACTGTTTCTGCAGGAACTACGGGCATACCAGGCAGATATTGCTACTGTGATGAGAAATGGTATTGTCTTCTTTCCAAGTGTTTCTATTTTGTTCTTCAATGGTATCTCGCTGTTGAGTTCTAATATTTGTTAATGTGAAGAAGGATGTTACTCTAATAACAGCGAAGTGTAGTGCTATTTTGTTCTTGAATGATATCATGCTGTTGAGTTCTATATTTGTATAGTGAAGAAGGATGTTATTCTAATAACAGCGAAGTGTAGAGCTATTTTTGTAAACCCTTGATTTCTTTTGGACCAGCATGCCCGTTTTTGTATGAATTTTTCATTTTTCTTTCCCC